TTCCTCGAAAGATTAGGGATGTCAAGAGTGCAAAAGAGGTGCATCGTGGAAGTCTTGGAGGAAAACAAGCTGTCATGTGAAACGTCTCAACTGTTACGAAGTTACGTCGTCCATTTCATCTATGTATGTAGCGTTTTCGACGAATTGATGGGAATTCGGAATGGAAACCTCACATAGAAGTATGGGCTATGGGCTCTGTACTTTTGGTTACGTTTCTGATGTGCCTCTGCGCCTCTAGATTGTTGATGAGTATGCGTTGGCGATTGTATTGGCCACTGATGCGTTAGAGTTGATTGGAAAGCTTAACGCGGAGCCTAGGCACAGTATATACGAGTAGAGGTGTTCGCTTGAGGTTTGGCATTTGGGAGGTTTAGGGGGAGGGGGGAGAAATACGTTGACGGACCTAGCAGGGAGCTGAGTTGAGGGCATACACGCACGGATGTTTTTTTTTTTTGAGGGTTCTGGGCCATTTGGCAGCGGAAGGATGGGAAGGGAAATACGTTGAGAAGCTGATTTGGTCCCTTCACTGCTCGGTTTCCTCAAAAGCTCATTCAGCAGAGTCATGTGGAGAGCGTTTGACTTTGTTTGCACTTGTTGAAAGCCTACATATTTCAAGGGCACTATCGTTGTAGCGTATCGCTGTGTGGTGTTTATTAATGCTGCTGGTGTTATACATAAGAGATGTGCCAGCACGCGATGTCCGTCCAAGTCCGCCCACTTTTTTTTTTCGCTCGCGCTGAGGAGCCCTCGGCGATGGCATCTGTTCTTTAGCGTTGCTCATTGAAAGTATTTCCCTACGACGTTCAGAAATCGTTGTTGTCATTGTGAAGCCTTGTCACACTATCGATCTTTCTTCAAAGTTCGTTCTAGTCGGCGCTATTTCCCTTTTCCCCTTCAGAGTTGTACTTGTTCGAATAAGGGCCCTCCGGCGATTGAGGAACTCACTTCCGTCAGGAATCGTTTTTGCGGGTCTCATGGGGCACGCACCCATAACTTCTCAACTTTTTCTCTTCTGTTCTCTCCTTTTTTTACTAGTAATCTTAGAGTATTCCTTACGGTTATCAGCTGCAAATTCAAATCATCGCAAAATACTGAGCAGAACGAAAAAACGAGTCACTGAGTTCCTCTGCCTCTTTCAAGATAAAATTTCCACGTTCCCAAAAGCTTGTTCCCGGAAAGAGTTACCTGAAACAGTTCAGGAAAGCCTTTTCGATGAGTGTTTGGGAAGACTTCCCATTCAAGGATCATTTCGAAATTATTATTGTCAGGTGTGCAAAAAAGGGAATAGAAAACGATAACAGGTTTTGCTGAAGGCACTTGAGGAGTAATCGATTCAAAAGCGAAAGGTGCGTGTTTGTGATGTGCGCGTTCTTAGATGAAAGCAGGATTTTTTTCGCTGCAAGCAGCATGTCGTATCCAATAAAGTTGGCGCAATTATAGCACAATTCAAACTGCTATCGCATCGGGCGCAGTGCGTATTTATCTGTGTATAGCGTCTGATCACCCAATTCCTGAGTTATTTACAGAAAAGTCGCAAATTTTGGATTAGTACTGGTGCCCTCTGAGGTGTTTTCCGTTAAAGTTGCTGGCCTGAGCTAGCTTCAACCTTGCAAGCGGAAATGGTGTTTTATAATGCCTGAAATCACACGCAATGGAAGACTGGGGATTGTTTTTCATTAGGGGAAGGGGAAAGGGAAGGGCAAAGCATCACAGATCGTTTTGTCGTTTGGTTGAATAGAAAGGAAAATTCATGGTAATGTAAATGGGGATTTTTGAATATGATTTTTTTCTTGAGAAAGGTAATTTTCACAAGCTTTATTAAATAGTTTTTTTCCTTCAGATTTTCTCGATTTTTTCCATCATTTCCTTCTCTTCGGGTTTTTATTTGTCCTTCTTTTTTTTTGCTCTTCATTAAACTGAGATATTGTTTAACCAGCTCTTATGGGAAGACAGCTAGAGGCATTTAATTTCCGCATTGCTTCGCTTGTGTGCTTAATGAGGCCTGGGCGAATAGTTGCACTATCCCAAGAATAAAAATTTAATGATTAGTTCATTTTAGCTAATATTTGCATTGTAGGGAAGGAATTTAAGGACTAGTGCTAGGGAGTTCAATCTAATAATTGTATCACTTATCAGTGGAATCTTCGATGAGGGCAATGAGAGCAATGACCGTTTTTGAAGCAACCCAGTTTAACTTCGATAATATGATAAGTTTCTAATTTCCATGCCCGATTAAGAACAGCCATCCCCAAGTCATGGAGATTGCTCCGTTTCTTTCTTCCGGACGCTAAAGTGATTGCTTTTGCTGTTTTTGAATAATTTTTGGATATCTGGCATTCATCCTCAAATCTGGGGCCTCTTACGGATTAAGGCTATATTTGTCTTTCATCGGTCGAAGGTATTGATTTGAAGCTTGCAGTATATCACAAATGGTCCAGTATACTCCTGAATGAAATTTCAACAGGAGCAGTTAGTTTACTTAGGGATTTTGTTTTTCCTATCGCTATATCCGCCATCTGTTCCATGGTTCAAAAATATTGAAACAGCCTTTCAAGTTGTTTTTGGTAACGTATATGCTATTGACATTTGGCTATGTACATATTATGTATGTGTTTCATCGCGTGGTCGCTTCTCATATGACGCATTTGTTTTCTGTGGGGCCAGTCAGATCCAACCGACCACTTTTCACTCTTACTCTTTCGCACGTCGTTGTCGATGACGACGTCACCCCCTTTAATTCTGCTTCCCGTGCTATGGGGATGTTTTTCATCTAATCTCCCAAGGCCGGCAGATTTTTAAGGCCAAAGCCTCAAGGCCATCCGCGCAACGAAATTTTCGTAGTCATAAGCCGAGCCAGTCATCCATTTATTCACAATCGAATCGAATTCTCGGCTCTCATGCGTTGTCAGACATGAATCCTATAATGCAATCATCGTCTTCTATTCTGTTTTGCTCGAATTAATTCATAAATTCGAATCGATTTCTAGCAATTCATATAAAAGGGCTTTTCGATAAGTTATAACGCGATTTCGGCTTGTTGGAGCCATCTATACCACTTTGGTGACAGTTCAAGATTTTAGCCTGTTCACGATCCTCTGTCTACGCCTACTGAAGCGCTCTCTTCACTTTTGGATACGTTTTCGTCACCGATTTCTGATAACAGTGGCGGTTTCTCGATTGGTCAGCTCACTGGGCCTCCATACAAACAAATGGCAAGCTCGAATCGGTAAGGATTTTGGGTAATTGAACGAGAACTTGAAGTTTCTAAAACCAGTTGATTCAGATTTGCCCAACCTAGCCGTAGGGCATTTGGCATAATGTCATCACATTACGAAACCAGTAACTCACCTGGAGCTCCAGGAACGCCAATTAATGATAAGCAGTATGGTTAGTATTGTCTGTTTTCGTATTAAGTATTTGATCGCCCTTTTTGTTTTTCAAATAGACTGCAGTGGCGCGGCAGCGTGCCCTTCCGAAGAGGAATTGGTGCGTCCTGTTGACGGCAAGGCATTCGCTGCAATAAACTGCGTCTAGGAGCTATTTGCTTAGAAGTGGTGGCGATTTTCCGGCAGTTATTTTCTCCTATGCATACAGGGCTGGGTAGCCTTTCGTTGGTTAGTCATGGGACCTAAGATCTCAGGGGTTCATGAAAATCGAAATAGGGCAGTGAGAAAAACAGGGACGTTGTTATTCAATATAGGAAGTTCAAAATGTCTCATGATTTCTTTAAAAAAAATCGCGTGGCTGTTACTCGAAGGTCATTTCGGAGAGAAAGTGCCAACCCTTGCGAAACCCTTGGTGTTCAATGGAAGAATGGGGAAATAGGCCAGGAGGGAAGTGAATGGTTGCATAGGGGGGGGGGTTTGGGTGTTTGAATTCTTCATTTTGCGGATGGGATAGTCATCGTTTTCGGTGAAATGGGACAGATTAAGTCCTCTTCATTGACTGCGTTGCTGTTCACAGATTTACCCGGGTACGAACCCCTCTCTCCTCGTCTTATGCCTCTTTTTTCGGGCTTTTGTGCTGTCAGGAACTCTTGGCTATCTAGTTAGAAGTCGACAATGGCAGCTTAGCCAAGTAGAACGGTGACGGATAGACACAAAATGGGATTCTGAGGGTCAAGGTAATGGGGGAAAGAAGGTTCGAAACACTGGCCCTTCTCTGTGTTCATAAACCGGTATAAATGGTTTTCCCAGTCTCGTTCTCATTCGAAAAGAAGTCATTTTAGAGGACCAACAGAAATAGAAAGCGGTACAAACACCATCAGACTGAGCCTTTTATGGCGCTGTGTACGCTCTTATCGTGTTTTACAAAGCCATTTTACCTCGTAAGGGCTAATAATGGGTAGTGGCAATAGTACCTTTCGTAATAACAAGTTTCCCGATCGGGAGTGGCCAGCTGTACATAAGCTGTCTCATGGATAGGGCATGAATTCCAAATGTCTCATATTGGACCTTTTACTAGGCAAATGCCCTGTTTGAGAGTCATTAAATAGTGGACTAAGTATTGGGGTTTTTTTATTGACTTGAAGGGGTATTTGTACGTTCTTTGCTTACCACTCATTTAGAGTTCCTATTCCTGGAAATGAGCTCAAGGCTGTGTAGCCAACCTCAATAGATCTAAAATTTGAGCAGCCCTAATGGGAATACGATCTCTAGGGGAGAGCAAGTGGGCAGCGACGTCATTAGGCGCATTTACTTCTTGGCTTAGAAGTATTACGTTCCTTTTCATGCCATCAAGGATTACTTCGAGTAGGGGATTATGTTTGTTTGTTTATGTTTGAGATCCGGATTTTTTCCTTTCGGCAATTTCACCTCGGGAGTGGAACTTCCAAAGTTTATTTTCGTGCCCATAAACGTAAATCGACTATGTTTGAGGTGCGGATTGTTCCCAAATGGGAGAATAGTAGGTGGTGATGAAATTTTTTCGAACCGTTCCACAACACTTTAGTGTCGTATTTGTTTGTTTGTTTGTGCCCATGATGAAATATTAAGTTTTTGTTTACCAAAAGCGCGTGCGATGCTATTTTTGAATTTCTGATTGCACGTTTATTTCAGGTTCATCCATGGCATCGATCAACATGAATCCTCTGGTTGGTGTAGTAACTCTGCCACAACATGCTCCACCACCGAAAAATCCAAAACTGTACAAAACGGAATTGTGCCGTTCATGGATGGACCATGGTCGTTGTAATTACGGAGAAAGGTATCGATTTAAGTGTTAAGTACTTGGATTTTATATTTTGTAATGTGTTTTCGCTGCAGGTGCCAATACGCTCACGGTGAACAAGAAAAACGTCCGATTCCTCGTCATCCAAAGTACAAAACCGAAGCGTGCCAGTCCTATCATCAGTCTGGTTATTGCCCATATGGTCCACGATGCCATTTCATTCACAGGTGTGCAATGGTTTTGCCCTTTTGATGAGTTCTAGGTGATGAACATACCTACCCCGTAAGCAGCTATGTTAGGAAGAATTGTTTATGGGTTTCAAGAGGTAATGCAGAGGTGATTAATCAGGTAATCTTGCAATAGGTAGGGGAAGAATGTAGTTGAAGGTATGACTGGTAGGTGACAAATAGTCTCAGTTTACGCTTGTTATGTTTAGTTTGATTAACTTTTAGTGTCTATCTTGTAGTTACAATATGAGAAACAGGAGCATATGAAGCATTCAGGAACTAGATTTTCCAGGGTACGTTTAGAGAGGAGGGGTCTGACTTTGGGCGAATAGGCCGTTGTTTTAGATGCTGGTAAATTGCTCCCTCAATCATTTCTGGGTGGGTTTCGGCTGACATTCTCGTGCAGTATGAGCAAACTTCCTGATGAGGGCATCCTTGAAAACACATAGTTCTTCCCTGATGAAAGCGAGTAAAATGACTAAGCAAGGGTGAACTTGAACTGAAGGCCTCAGAAATTCTGATATGCTCGATAACCAAAGTGTCAGTAACTGGAAAAATAGTCCAATTTCAGCGAGACAGATCTTCTCGCGAATCTTTCGAATCCACCATCGTCGTGTGCACCGTCGATGCGTTCGAATCACAACACGTACGCTCCATTGGCATGTTCACAGCAACTTTCTTCATCGTCATATGTACCCCCAATGAGTCGGTCTCTTGGTGCTGCACAAACAAATACGATGTGTATGTGAACTTTTTATGGCGGCTTATTATTCATCCAGTTCTTTTTTAATATTCGTATCAGTGATTTTAGTAGGCAGCCCGATGCTTCAACGTCTGTCGTCATTGCCTAGCTATGGCAGCACTGGTGACTCGACGGCGGGCAGTAGTAGTTCAGCCGATAGCGGATCAGAATCACCAAACGGCAGCTTTTCACCAGGACTCGATCTGGACGATGGTGATTTGTTAGATCGACTCTTTTATCGTAGTAGTGGTGTTTGAAAGTATCATGTTCAAGCCAATGCAATAAATCTCTCATATTAGGCTCATTCGGCACAGGGTTTATGGCATCGCTTCCGGTCAATCAACGAAGCATGGCGGAGCAGTTGCCTAACTCGATGAATTACGACTTGAGTCGGTAAGTAGTAATTCTGTTCTATGGCAAGACATTCTTTATCGATCAGTAATGTTCAGTACAGGTTTGAAGCTAGGGGGAATCTTTATAATGGCCGATCTCTGTGCTATCAAAGTGTTGAGTGTTGACACAACGTTTTAGTGCACGTTTTCGTTTTCTTCCGGCGCCTGGAATCACGTTTCAGCGCTAAGGAAGCTTAAAAATAGTGATATGGGGTATGAAGTTAGGGTTTTCTGATAAAATTCGATATTTAGTGCACTAAAATAACAAGATGACGTACCCTTCTGGTTTGGATAATCTTCACGTCATTTGATGTCTTCAAGGGACTTAGACGAATATACCTGACTGGAGTAAATCGTTCTTGGGATTCAATCCTATGGCATACAGTTTTGTTTACGCCGATTGAGAGTCAAAAGGAGATAGTTGTGGAAGAGTAAGGTTGTAAAGAAGGGTAAATGATTTTCGTAACTTATGAAGGAGTCTGAACGGGGTCAGAGGAAATAGGGCAGCAAATATGTGGAGTGCGGAGCAGAGTTGGAGGAAACAGAGCAAGCTAATTTAGGGGAACTTTTCGGGATGTTTTATTTACTTGAAGTTCAACGAATTTGGCTTGAAATTCAGCGAAGCGTCTGGCTCTCTCTCACTTGAAATGGTCGGGGGTCAGAGTTCCCTTAATTTTTTAATATGGTTCTACATGATTTCCCCCGCCCTCCCCAGCTCCCCCTTCCCCTGATCCGGTAGGTTGCAAGAAGCGTTTTCCCATTCCAAAAGGATTAAGTTTAGATCTCACCCGTGGTACTGACGACTCCCGGACGATGCACTGACCGTAATACGGGGCTTTTCCGGGCTCCAGTTAAAGTGGCAGTTAAAGTTTTGAAGAAGAAGCCGAGTAGAGACATTTCTCTTGTAATGGGTCGGAAGTTTTTGCTTCTCCAGATATAGACATCAAGTTTTCCGACGGCTGCGATACTATTTTTAGCGAAAATATTGTTATTGGTAATATGATCCAAGTGGGAAGAACGCCTAGCCTTGGCTGGTTAGCTTCTGGTGATAGTTTTTTTTTACGTTTCCATGAAGAATATCGATGATAAGTGCAAGGCAGTAAGAGCAGATACTCACTTTATTGCGTCAAATCGCTGTCCCACTAATCGGATTCAGTGAGCGTTCGGATGTAGATTTTACACGTTCGCATAAGAAATGTATTAAACATTTTTTGAATGCATCAAGGAGTTGGGGGCAGCGTTCAATGCATATCGAAGAAGCGGCGACAGAATCGTGGAGGAGCAGATTTATCGGATTTGGTTGAGTTGGCTGGAGAGAATAGAGTGAAAGAATTGAGAAGGAAAGACTTGGAATGGTTTCCGGGGCGATAAGGGTGACTGTAGGGGGGTACTCAGTTCTCAACTAGAAGGCTTTCTGTGTTCAACGGATTGGGTTTCCCACCGAAATTATCAGAAGTGGCGGAGACCACAAGTGGGAATCAGGAGACAAAGGATGAAAGACACAGTCTCCAGCGTTAGACAATCCGATTTTTGGAACGCGCCCCGCATTCGGCTTACATTCCGAGTTGTGGTATCCTACTGAATGCATATGTGGCCTTCAGTGGCTTGCAGTTGCCAGCCAGTGAACAAGTCAGTGCTTTGATCCTCCCAGACGTGTCTGCTTCCAACTAAGTGGCCCCGTGGTTGGCCTGGGCGGATAGTTATTCGGGATTCTATCCTTGAACCATGTGCGTGTCATGGTATACCACTTGCCTCCGCCCTGAAAATCAGTATTTAATCAAGCAGAAAGGAAAAGTGGAACTTGGCAAATAAGACGTAAATAAAAATGTAAAAAGCTCATTAAATATATACAGAAAGGTAAATTGGCCATAAGTAGCACACGATTTCCACCCACTAATGATTTGTCCTCTAAGTGTATGACTGGGGTTGATTTTGGGCNCTTTTGTTACGCAACTCCAGAAAGACGTAACATCGTTTTTTCCAGTGCAAGCACGGACCCAATGATGAATGGGCTCATCGGGGATATCATGTCGTTGACGTTTGACGAGAAATGGGAGAAAACGCCTGGTCGTCTGCCGGTGTTCGCCCAATTGAGCAACGCCCAGTGAAGTAATTTGGGAGTGAATTTTTCTTGGTAAAAGATTTCCTGAAGAAAACTCGTCGTGTACTACTCGCAGTTAGACTTATAACTGTACTTCTCCTGTCAATTTTATTTTGTATACTCGAACGATACAACTCGTCGGTTCAAAACCGTCGACGATGTTTCGTAGTTATTCAGGAAGAAATTTCCTTGTCAAAAGAAGGTTCATGTAATAACATTAGATTAACTATATATCATTTATAATAATTATAATAACAGCGATGTTGTTTTTTTTCTTTTTTTGCTTGTTTTGCATAGTTTCTAAGCGAAAACATTTACTTAATCCCGGTTGCATTTACTTACTACTACTATACTCTCTCCCCTCTCTTTGGCAGCATTGTTTTTTTGCCGTTCATTTATTTGAACGTGCAGGAAGGATCATTTGTATGTTCTGTTCCGTCAAATCGATGTATACATTGTAGATAATGGATGTACTGCACCCTTCTCCCTGTCGTAGTTATCGTGCCTGAATTCTTGTGCCTTAATTTCTATGCGCGCAAGTCTTTACCCACCCATAGGTTGCACACCCGCAAGTAAATGCTACCTCATCAGCGAACAGCGCTTGAAATAGCACCCACTCGTTCAGAAATTCGTTCTCCTCGTCAGAGACGCAGAGTGTTGTCTGCTTTTCTGGACTCTGCCTTGGGTAGAGGGACGGGATCCAGGCAATTTCTCTGACCAGCAGCTCTTCTTCATCCATTCTGAACCACATTATCTGTGTGTTCACATGGAGATCTATATGGAAATGTGAAACGCTTGCGCACAATTTGGGACGTTATCGATTGAGCTATCAGTCGGTGGCGTTCCTCTCATTGCCACATTGGTAGACAGCATGTGTTCTATGACAAATCAACAACCAATCATGTTGACGTATGTCACGTCGATGTTCTACCATTGTGTGTAATGAATGTAAATCTGGTTATTTTCAAATGCACAGTTTTAATTTATTCAACATTGGGATGTCTCTTATTTACGCTACCTTCCAGCCTTTTATATCCGTGACTGCCGGTGTCTAGAGCGTTTACTGCATACGTAGAATGTAGCATGTATACGAATAATAATCATCCGCTCTCCATAATCATCATAATCATTACCATCATCCATTCTCTACATCATCATCATCATTACAACATTCATTATTGTTCCAATCTTCCCCAACATTCTCTTCTATCTACACATCCACATCCACACATCTATACATTACCTAAAGCATATGCCCAACAAAACCGATGTTGTTATGTTGCTATGTTTCTGATCAATATATCGATTTTTATCGATTACTTCGAAGCAAAAGAACTATTATTTCTATAGATATTTGTCGGTTAATTTCTTGTGTTACGCTAATCATCCCTCTTTCTTATATGGTGTGTCACCGGTATTTAATAAGGTTGCATATTAATATGTATTTTTGAGATAGCTATGTAGCTCGGATACATCAGGAGGTTTTCTTTTGGGAGGGAGAGACATTTTATGTAATTTCAAGCAAAATACTGTTTATACTCCAATACTGGTATATCCGGGCTGCTCGTTGCGCCAGTACATGATCATTACAGAATCCCAGTATCTTTCTTGGCGCCGGCAATGGCTGCTTTTTCATTTTTTCATTGTACGTACATATTTATTCGATTTTTGCTTTTTCTCTGCATATTTTTCTCCTGAAAATATGTATGAGCATGTGTGTTCATACGTCCCCTGTGTGTGGACTCTGTACTTTTTATTTACAACTCGAGCTATTCCTCTGTTTTCGTATGTTCATGGCTTATCCGTTGAAAACTTCATGTTGGCCAAGAATCCGGCTTTCTCTTGTGGTTTTTTATTTGCAGTTTTTTTAATCAAAATTCCTTCATTAAATCAGCCGGATTCCTGGTCAACGTGAATGTTCGTCTCGCTTAATTTAGATAGCTACCGCTAGTTTTTCGTTTCGCACCCGATATCAGATTAGATTCTTTCAGGTCTTGTTACCGATATTATTATTTTAGATCTATATGTATTACATCAGATGTTACAGAACTATTTTTTTAACCATTGATTTGTTGGAATAAAAGGAATATTTCTGCTTGAGCTGTACAATGTCGTTGGAAATAAAGGCTTATTAAGACACAGACCATTGGGAGGAGCACCTTGGAAGAGATTCAGTAGTTCTAGGAAGCTGTGGGATCCTGGCGCATCGCTCAGGTCTTCTGGTGATGGTTCCATTGGAAAAGCAAGAACTTTTTTACTAGTCGCTTAAGAACCAGTAAAATAGTTGGTATCGCGAACTAGGGAGCTACGAGTTTGCTGTTTTGGAAAATAACCAGGTTCTATCCATTGTAAACGGCGCCCTGGGGCTCATGGGGGCTCAGTGAAGGGAAGGATACTTACGAAAGTAATAGCGGGTGTTGTCCGCGATGTGTAAGCAGTGGAGGAGTTCACTAGGGGACGAATTCATGCAAAGATGGTAGATGCGTATAAGTGCATGATGAATTGAGAAGGGGAACGAATATTTACAAAAGCGAACCTGGGTGGGTGGGATCTGTGGCATTGAGACGGGGAACTAGGCGTATGCGAGTCCAAGGAAACAAATAAATGGGGTGATAGGAATATGGCGGGGAAGGCGTGTTTCGTAAAATTCCTGAGCAAATTTCAATTCCGTATGGAAATGAGTTGATGGGCAGTTCTGTGGTGTGCGATGTTGTTGTGTTGTTCTTTCTGTCTGCTGAAACAAAATTCTGGTTGTTTGCTCAGA